TCCTACTTTAGCTCAATGACTGGCTGGCTGTGAAATGTAGGAAGCCACCCACCTTCTTTGGACATCAGATCATTCAGTCTAAGACTGAAATTCTTCTATCTCTACCAGGTGACAATTGTATCTATCAGAATGGCACATATGAAGACATGCTTATAAAAGTCAATCAACTTTGACTTCAAAAGGTCTCAAATTTACAAATTTAGGCTATCTAAAAAGTAAAGAGTCACACTAAAAAAAGAAAATTCCTTAATCCTTCAATTGTCTATGGCTTTAATAGTATTTTTCAAGATTGTATTTATTTTCTACTCTTCTTTCAGTTAGCTGATACAAAGGTAAAACCTCCATACAATTGAAAAGAAAATTGTTTAGGCAGTAAAAATGTCTAAGTTTTCATTTTTACTGGACATTCCAGAATGTATTACTATAACATGCATATGAGACCTTAAATAAGTAAAACATTTGACAGAGTTTGCATTTGAAAGGTTTTTTTTCAACTTTGCACTGATGTTCTGTTAAGGAGCTTGCTTCACATTATTGACTCATACTATTCCTAATAAATGATTAGTTTGTCATAGCAATCGCTTTTCTAAGGGGGCAAGAAATATGTTATATTTACTTTCATCTACAACCATAGTTCTACACCCACTGAGAGTTGAGCATAGCATTCATAGCAAATGTCACAGCAAGGATTATGACACAACAGGCAGATGAGTCATGTGAGACTGGGACAAAATAAATGACATTTCAGATGATTTTAGAACACTTAACCTTTTTATTAGAATCCTTTTTTTAAAAAATCATTTGCATCTGCTGGAAAAAATTTTTTAAAAATATCAGAGTAGAGACAGCCACTAATGTTCAACTAGAAATAAACCAGCAGCTTGGCTACTGTTAAAATAGCTATCAAATAAATCTACTGAATCTAAAGTAACGGTGCTGATATCCATGGAAACATATTTGAACCCACAGGCCTACAATGTTAACAATAAAGGAACCAGATAGGTAAAGACATCTCTGCCTGGAGTTGGAAATAAAAAACCCTTGAGGTTTCTGCTCCCCAAACAAGTTTACAAATGAGTAAAGCAAGTAGCTCCAACAATCTGAGTTCTGGGACTGAGCATATGTAAGAAATAGAACAAATGGAACAGAAATGGTCAGAACAGATGGAGACTCACTCTCACATGAGAGCTGCTGGCTGAAGACAAACAAGCTAATGAGTTTTCCCTACCAGGAGTCAGTGCCGATAATAACAACAGAGATGAACTTGTTTCAGACTTCACAGCTTATCACCTGTCTTCCAAACACTAATTTCTTACAACAAATTTACTGGCATAGGTATTACTACCTTTCTATTAGATTGAGAATCTGAAGGTCAGGGAGAGTGTGGCGACTTGACCAATGCTGATGTCTAGGAGGCAGGTTCATGTGCAGCCTTTGGAATGGAACACCTACCTCAGCATTCCACAGCACAGAGCTGTTGCCCAAGTCTTGACTTATGAATACACTCTCCTTCAACCTCTGTCTTCCCTTTATCTAAATTAGATAGGACATGTGATTTATAAGATTGAGAGTTTGTGTTCATCTAGGGCTACAAACTTTAGATACAGCCTTATTTTCCTGTTCCCTAAGCAGCAAAAGGGTTAGAAAGCTATCACTTGCATGGGCTATGTAAGAATCAGGTGATGTTTTTCTACTTTCAGTTCATAGAACAGGGAGTTCATTCAAATACACGCTGTTATATTATTTGTAAAGTAAAAATGGCCTCTACTGTTTCAGCAGAGTTTGCAGAAGAAGCCTATTTGGGAAACAATTGAGTATGCAACCAAGTTTTGAACATAGAATGATGTAAATAATATGTAGCAAAACATTTTCTGTTGCTATGAAATCACATTTTATTATTAATCTTAAGAGACATCTGTAAAAATCATACCAAATTCTAAATGATGGTTGATCAAGTATGGCTGAAGATATTTTTCTTTCTCTGGTTTAGGTGGAAGTATTTTGTGTTACAAAGCTAGGATGTTAATTTGCTGACAGTCTTGGTCTGTATTCTGCTCCTCTCTCCTATCCAGAATGAATTATACTACAGATCTCTGTCAGTGTAATGCAGCAGAAAACCACATGTTAGTCATCAGGCTTGCATTTTTTGTTCTGGGCCACAGAGAGGCTACCCATCAGTGCATAAAGGTCTGCCCACCTGGCCTTTCAGATCATAGTTCAGGCACACAATTAATTCATTATGAGGTAAGTCACTGCTTGCTTTTGAACTCGTCTTTGCAGCTTTGGAGGTGAATGTCCTGTCACTGACCTGAAGAAATACCTCTACCCTTTTAAACTCCATTAAATCACATTTCCTTCTGTTTTGTTTTGTTTTCTTTTTTTTAATAGTGGCATAGAAGGAAAAGTTTATAGTGATAGAATATATTCAACAATTGGCTGAAAAAATAGGGCACCTAGGCAGATAACTTGTGACAGTGAAGGATTTGGAAACATAAAACTGATTAAAACAATATAATCAAATTGATTTAATTTACACTCCCTCCTCATCTGGAATACTACATTTAATTTAATGGGCCATAAAAGGCCTGAATTAAAGAGAAAAATCTCACTATATCCATTTATTTCCAATCTCACCAATATGTATTTCTTGGTCAGTTTTGGTCAGAGAGAGATCTTATTCTTTTAGTAACTATCAAATCCTATTTCCCTCTTCCTCTCACTCGAAAGGTAATTATGATGCTAAATTTTGTGTTCATCATTATCTTGCCATTTTAAAATACACTTATATTCTGTGTTCCTAAACAAAATATTATATTGCTGCTTCTGGACCCAAAAATATGATCATACATAAGTGGTCTTCTGAAACTTTCTGTACTGACTGAACCTCTAAGAATCATATACACCAGTGAATGTAGTGGCAATGTGTCATCTGTACTCATTTTTCTAGAGTATAAAGTACATCCAGGAACACACTGCAATCCAGATAATTTGGTATTTATGCAATTTCTGAGAAACACAGTATTTGACTGAAAGAAAGTGGAAATCTGTTTTTTCTTCCCTAATATTTGGTATCAAAATTGTTCTTTTCTTATAAATAAAGAGTTGCTAAGAACTAATATTGAGGTATAATTGCACCAACCCGAAGACAACATCTAGAACAAATAGTTGTTGAATAATCCAACTTACGTCTCTGGTCACAAATATTTGTCAGGTATCTATTCCATCTGATATCATGTTTTTGAAAGGATAATAAAAAAGAGAAAGAGGGGTGTAAAAACAATAAGAAACTGGGTACCGACAAAGGTCCCAGAGATTATCTAGAGATTTGAAAAGTTATTATTCAAGGAGCTGCAAGACAATCACGAATAAGAACATCTAGCTTTTCTACTCACGATTCTTAAAAAATATTGAGGGAGACTTTTGAAATCTAAAACAAAGGTAAATGAGCTTTGAGTGGGTTCTCATTTGCTTTTGCAGATACTTGGGGGATGACAAAGATGGGGCCTTTTAAAACCAAATAAACAGTTCAAGATTCTGCGATCAGAACTAAAATACCCTTGCTGTGCTCTACATCAGGACTGTTTCAGGACTGAGGGGAGCGACACACCAATGTAGCATAAATGGGGGCCTTTGGGATGCCAGCTTAGTGCTTGGAGGGTCTCTTGTTAGATTATTCCCCTTGGCCAACCCTAGGTTTGTCTTCTACCTTCTGAGTGCCGTGAGGCCCTGAAAACCACAGCTCAAACTCAGACGTCCTTAAGGCAAATGACCTCTCTGGCTGCAGTCCCTTGCTTCTCTGGGGTAACCTCTGGGTTTCTGTCTTTGCTTATATTTTGGCCTAATAATTTTAATTTTATAATGTATAATATTTTACTGTATATATGCACATATGTGTTTGTGTATATGTATAATTTATATATATACAAACAAATATAGATATCTTGGCATAGCGCCTGGAAGATACTTCTGTTGTTCAAAGCAACTGTTTAAAATCAATTTAGTTGTGTCAGGAGACAGTGAGATCCCTATAGCTAGAAGTGTTGTGGTAGAAGTTGGACAATCACATGGCAGGCAAGCTATAGCAAAAGAGAACTGGTAAGTCACAATTAGCCCCAAAGTACTATGACTCTATAAATTATAAGAAGTATGTAGGAGTTATGTACAAGAAGGTGTCACACCAACTTTTCCTCCATAGAAGAATGCATAGTTATGGAGGAGTTATAATGACCGAAAGAAAATTGAAGGCTTTCAGTGAATGGACCCTGAGTTCAAAACAGTGAGTTCTGTAAGTCACTGTGTTCACACTATCACCTTGCTTCACCTCATACTGCAACTGTATATATGCTTGCTGACTCCCGCATTTACTTTTCTCTGCATATTGTACTGCTGATTATAATAAGTGATGTTACTTTAAAGTAACTTTCTTTAATATGCCATTCTTAAGGTTAGAGCTCATATTTTATTTATATGCCCACTGCTAGACAAAATGACTGACACACAGTGGTAAATGTTTGCTCAGTGGAACTCTTTGTGCTCCAATTCTTTTTCATTACACTTAGGGTCAAAAGGACAAAACTCACCTTGCTAGGTGTTCTTCTGAGAGATTTGCATGAAGCTCTCCTTACTGATGGGTTTACTCCCATCAGACTAATCAATAGCTGAGCAGCATTACTAATTTGTATAAATGTTGTGCAGTGTATACTTAGGATCGCTAAGGATATTTTACTTGAGGACTATATGTAGTGTTTTTCAAACACCCGATTGTCATCCAGCTATTGTTCATTGTCTTATTTATAAATTAGATTGTGTTTACTCAATTCCATGTATTATAAAACTATAAAACATAACTAATATCTACTTATAATAGTCAATAAACACCTATTTCTCTTATAAGTTTAAAACACAGAATTGAGCCAACTTGAACTCAGCAATATCACTCTGTATTAGGCAGCTACTCGGGGAGCCAATTTCCAAAAGAACGAAACTAATAAGGGTCTTACCTCAGCATGAGGAGTAGGGGGCAGAACCGAAGTCTCGTTTTCAGTAACATTTCCAGTTGGTCCATTGTTTGGTGAACTGGGACCAGATCCTGGAGAACTGCTGCTCACTGAGGATTCTGAAAAATATGGGGAAATACAAATATATGCATGAAAAACACACACAGATGGGTGTTTGTAACTGTAATATACAGTATTTGGTGGTTTTTTTAAACTTTTATCTGAATGGCATGCACTGTGTCACAGGGAGAATGAGGGAAATTTATGGAATGTTTCTCAATTTTCATTCTACCTTTCCCTCTTTGTGTTTACTGACAAAATACAGTATAGCATTCTATAGTTCCTAGAGAAGTAAAATATCCAGTTAGAGAGGCCAGTGGAAGCACTGGGTGAAGGGGGAAAGAGTAAAGGATCTGCTATTACTTGCTCCTACGTGATAAGAAAACAATGAACAGTGATAAAGGTAATGAATTTCTACAGATCAAAAAAGCAGCTCATCAACACATGGAACCAAGAGCAATTTCCTTTGTGACTGCTCAAATGCTGAGTTAGAAAGGATTCTCCTTGATATATGGAGGCTGTACCTTCTTATAGCACATGTGTGTCAAAGTTGCAGGAAGAAAATATAATAGAAAGTAAAATCTCAACACTGCATTGCCACTCTTTTACAAACTAATTTGACTTTAACCTTACCCAACTTATTTTCCAAAATACGGAGATTTGTTTATTTAACATGTAAAAATTTAAAAGCCAATATAATGAGAAATTCTTGGTTTTTTTGTTTGTCTGTTTTTTTGTTTTTCTCCGGTACCGGGAACCAAACTCACAACCTTGCACTTGCCAGGCAGGTGCTTTTGCCGCTGAGCTAAATCCCCAGCCCATAACGAGAAATTCTTATAAGCAAAAGTTTAATAACAATACAAAATATTTAACTAACCTCTTTTCTCTTCAATAACAAAATTTATATGTACTTCAACTTATGAAAAATAATGTATCTCTTAAAACATCTAATTAAAAATAGAAAGGTCCAATTCCTAGAATAATACCTAGAGACATCACCTTATCAAGGCTTGGAAAATGAGTTATTGAGCTCTGTTTAACTCTTTACCCTCTTCTAACGTTCACTCATCTCAGAATTTTTCTATTTGCCTCATCTTAGGTCTTGCTAACCCCTGTATCCTTCCATCTTGTTAACCCTGTATAAATGACCTTGCCTGGTGCTTTTCACAGACTGCGTACTTTGATCTGTTTTCCACCAGCACCTTTTCTATTGCAGCACATGTTACCTATACTCTCCATTCCCACTTCAAAGGTACAGCATTACTCTTCCTTTCCCTCACCCGACTCTGGAACACTGACTTTTACCCTTAACCCCATCCCTTTTATTGGCTGGGGACTTTCCTCATGGATTACTCGGTATTTTCAGCCCCTCTTCCTTCTCCACCGGGACTGCCCCCCTAGTGGGACAGCGTGTTAATAATCCTTGACAAGCAGGGTACTCTCAGTGCCTACCATTCGTTCAAGCCCTGGCAATATGGCTTACTCATTATCAACGGCAACCACTCTCTCACGTACCATCAAATTTGAAGGCTTTTGACAAAACAGTCCTCATCCTCCTAACTTCTTAGACAGTAACCTTATCCATCTCCATGGTCATCATTCTGTCTCTCTGGCTCTCCTCTTACCATCCCTAAACACATGCACGAATCGGTGGCCTTCTCCCTTTTTCTCTATCCTTTGTTAAGGTCACTCAGTCTTGTAATCTTATATGTTATTTTTAGGCAGTATTCTCTCATGGAGTTTTTATTTCTTGCCTTTAGCGCTCATAATTTCAGCCTGAATTCCTCTGGAATGCAGGACATTACGTGTGTGTGAAACTCAATGAATTCTAGTATTAAATATTTCCTTCTTGCCTCTAGATTTTACCACTACCCTTAGAGTCATCCTTATTTCTGCTTTATCCTAATCAGTTACTGGGTCCTTTCAATTTGTTCTTTGTGTCATCTCCACGTGTGTCTGACTACAATCATCTCAGTTTAAAGAGTCATGATTTTCTCGTGAACTCTGGTTCTCTTAATGTTCCTGAGTCCCTACCACAGTCTCTCAGAACTTTCTTCCAAACTCTTGCCTGAAGAATCCCCCTACTGAGCCAACTTTTCACCATGTCCCTCTTCTCCTAAAAGCCGTTATTACCCACACTGCACTTTCCATGCTCTTTGAAACAGAGTCAGTTACCCTTTACTACTTTATGTTTTTTGTTCTCCTTTTTGTCCACTCACTCAACTGCAAGCCCAACTCCATGTGTAAATTCAAAGTCTGCTTCCTATTACAATCTGTCCCCCAAAGAACAAGAGCTCTCAATTTCCAGACTATACAGTACTTTCTCGCCTTCCTCTAAACAACATATAACTCAACTCTTATTAGTACTATTTCTCTATACAACAATGTAGAATCACTGGAAAGAATGTGAGACTCATGAAAGAATTCCGACCCTCCTACTTGTTTATTATAGCATCTCAGCAAATTATTACTATTACAAAATGTGTAAGCACACTTTTCTCACTTCCTATAGCTTACTTATTATATTCTCAGTAATCTGGTCTTTCTCCTATTTGTCATTTATGGTGTTTACTTTTAGCAAAGAAAATGCCCTTTAAAAAAATTCTTACAGGAAATTTCTTTTCTCTGACTTGCCTTTCCCACATGATTAAGTATTTCTCATTAATGTCTCATTTCCATATCATTTCCATATTTTAAAAATATTTTCTTAAACATTCTGATCAATTTTAAATTTTATAACTTATGTTATTTTATGTTTATTTTAGTGTAACAGGATTTCACCACATCACACTGGACAGGATCTGGAGGAGGCAGCAACCGCTTTTCTTGGAACACAAAAAAGTCTCAGAAAAAGAGTGATACTAGAACTGGAGCTTGGGGAAGAGAAGTTCATGAAATGGGTGCAGTGGAGAAGAGGGTAGAAAGCACTGCTGGCACAGGGAGGAGACCGTGCCTCAAATATTAGAAGTAGAAAGCTTGTGAGGGGCAAAGCACACCTGGATTTTGAAAAAGAGGAAAATGTTCAGTGGTCCCCCCACATCAACTATCGGGTTATAGTACATGCTTAAATGCAAGGTATGGGATGAGAGAAGGATAAAGATGGGAAATGATGACAGCAAGAGGGACTTAACTGCCAGGGTACCTTTGATGGTCTCCAACTACGTTCTAATAGTATTTAGTATTAAGATACAAACAGCTAATCCAAATGTGATGAAATTTAGCCAGGAAATAAAGAGGGATACAGATGCAAATGGCTGTGTGTCAGTAGATCAGAGCTGCCAGAGGCATTTAGAATAAGAACAACACACCAATTAAAGTATCGTCCAAAGCATCCCCCGTGCCAGGGCACAGGCCAATAGTGTGTCTAATAATAGCATAAGTCTCTCTTCAAATAGCTATTATTTCTCAGGTGAAATGAGGAGTCCTTGTGAAGCAATATCAGGCAATAATCATTCAAAAGAAAGCTTTGTGCTTTTATCTGTTTGTTTCTTTCTTGCAAAGAAAGTCTTTTTGTCTCTATGACTTGTACTCCGAGTAAAATTTTGGTCATTTTAAGATTATGGTACGTAGTGTATCAACTGTTGTTAGTCTCACATTATTTTTTCCTGAAATTTTTTATAGAAGTAACAAGAGTACTTTTGTATATTCCATTTATTAATTTCTATATGTATGGCACTAAATATATGTCCTATTAAGAACTAAAGCATATAATATTTAAATAAAAAGAAACGCAAGTAAAACTCGGCAAATCATAACATTTGTCAATGAGAACTAATCATTCAGGTAGGCACTCAGCTAAATTTCACTGCAATATTTAAGGGGGGAAAATGAATGTGGTGAAAAAGGACAAAAAAAAAGACTTGTGAAACGGGAAGAAACTGGGTGGGGGAAGGGGAAAGGAGAAAGAAAGGAAGGAAAAGGAAAAAAAATACAAGATAGTTATACTACTGGTTTCTCATAGTTCATTGAAAAGAAGAGTTTGTCTAATATCATTTGGAGAATTTTTTAAGCCCATACCTTGTGCTCTGAGTAACTACTTTGAAGGTGACAATAGGTAGTGTATTAACTATTGTTATTCTCCTGCTATTTTATTATAAAATTTTGATTTCTTTTTCCATAAAAAATAGACTAATTGGAAAATAGGAAAGAATACTGGCATAAGTAAACATGATCTTAGATGTTGAGACTAAAAAGCAGAAAAAAATCTATATATATATATATTTTGATTGTTTCTTCAAGTTTTTGTTAGCAGGACCCTACTCTCTCCAATTAAAAAACACCTCCCTTCATTTACATTACACAATTAGCATGGCATTTTTTTCCTTTCATTAAAATGGATTTATGCTTCACTCACCAGTCCTACCAAGGACTTCAGTTAGGCAAATTTACCATTTTTACCTACTTAATATACAAAAATATTTCTTGAAAAAAGTCTGTATTTTCAAAATTAGAATTTAACTGGTAAAAATTTCTGAGTATATTGGTATTATCAAACAAGTGGAAATTCTATGAAAGTAATTTTATTTATTGTTCATTTCTTTCAAACTCCTTATCCCTTAAGGAAAAAATTTCCATTATAATCAGTAACATTTTCCACACAAGCATGCCAGTCTATCGGAATTGTACAGGAGACTGAATATCTTTTAAAAACCAGTTAAATCTTTAAATTGCATTGGTATACTGTACTTAAATATAAATTTCTACCTCCACTATACTATACTAAGGATAAGATCTGATCTTATAGAACTAGTAGCAACTGACTGCACTGGTACAAGCACTGTTTTCTTTGAGAATGGAGAACACCGGTTGTAGATTACTACTTCTTTGTTGATACAATCACAGGCAACAACCAGAAACAGTGCATGGCTCCAAGTAAGGACTCAGTGAACAGCTGTCAGTACTATTTTGTCAAAACTTTTGGTTCTTGTATCCTTAGGCATGCGCTAATTTCAAATCAGGCACAACTGGGACTCAGAGGGTTTGTAAGATATCAGGTTGAATTTCCTAAACTGTTCACCTTACTCCTAACAAGGCAGCTAAAAAAATATGAACGCTTCCA